CGTTAATCGATGCATCCTTATGGTAAGTCGGAAGATCGAATCCAAACTGACGAATGAAGTCGATATCTTCCTTAGACAATCCTGGTGAGGTAGTGGGGCTTGTGAGTTGGTCTTTGGTGCGTACAAAGACTGTGAGTTCCTTATCGAATGAGTCGATAAGTGTGAGATCAGCTTTACCAGAAACTTCCGTGGTCTGATGTCCTCCGAAAGCCGTTAACGTAAGCGGCTGATGGTCATAGACATGGAGACCTAGTCGGTTGACTGCGGACGTGGTGATAAAGCTGGTCTGTGCGCCGGAATCGAGTAAAAGGGTCATATCCTGGAGATCTCCTGAGGCTGTGCGAGCTTTGGCTTTCACCAGCATCAAAGCTGGATGAAGCTGAGGATTGTTCGAATGAAGCTGCAGACGTAGATAACACTGGTGATAGTCCTCATACTCCGTATCGGACTGTACCAACAGCTGATCATTCGTCCTTGCCTCCTCAGGATATGGCGATCCTGATCTTCGTCCTCTGCGTCGTTCCGGTGATGATGGGGATCGACGTCGTCGATTCGTGGGGGATGAATCTCTGACGGGCACGTCAAAGCGTACACGTGGAGATGGGGATCGGGATGACTCGTGTTCCCGAGAGTGAGAGCTGGAGCTCGATCTGCTGCGATATCCTCTCTGTTCGCGGGGTTGATAAGCACGATCACGAGAACGATCTCGGGATCTTCTGCTGTCCCGTGCTGGACTTCTCGAAGGAGAATAGTCCTTTGAGGATTGGCGACTTCTCGTAGCGGGTCGTGATCCATGGGGTGACCTAGTCCTTGGGGATCGGCTTCTCCTTGGTTCAAACCTACAGAGGAGTCGATGGTGGTAGCCTCTACAATTCCTGCAGATGGGATAATCGCACTGATCTTGACGATGTCCTTCACGAAGACACTTCCAACACAATCCCAGAAGTTGCACGATCTTACGGCGAACATTGACTGGGAGCTGTTGGTTGCATCCACGAGAGGAGTGTGCAAAGGAATCGCAGAAACAACATGCGGCTGGATCATAAAACGATCCTGGGGAAGACGTTGGCTGACGTCGTGGGGAAATATCTCTATTGATGACATAGGTACTACTGCGGGAGCAAGTCTGCTCGAACCTCTCCCTTGACTGAATAAGGTCATCGAGGTGAGACATGACTTGTCGAAGATCAAAATCGGCTCGTTTCTCGAACTCGACGTTGTTAAGCCGCTCCTGGATTGATAGGGGGAACTTAGTCCGTACGAGATCGATGATATAAAGAGCACGATTCAGATCCTCGAAACGCGTAAGGGCATGAAGGATACCCTGAATCCGGAACCAAGTGTTTCGCATATCCGAAGCTGATTCGGCTGCGGGCTGAAGATCTCGGAGCTGCTGGTGAAACAGCGCTCTGGTCCTCCTCGGGCAGTCGTATCGCTTCTTCAATGCTTGCACTAAGTGATGGTAATTGTTCCGTCCTGGTTCAAGGTCCTGCAACACCACTTGGGCTTCTCCCCTAAGCAAATTCATGAGGTAGAGATATTTCATATTTAGGTCGATGTTGGGGTCGTTGTGAACAGCTAGCTCGAATGTGCACCAAAACTGCTGGAACTTGGTGACATCTCCATCGAAATGCGGCAACGTTAACTTCTCCAAATGGATCGGTACGTTGTGCGACGATGGGGCAGTTTGCGCGGATGTAAGCTGAAGATGTTCCAACTGCTGTGCAACGTCCAACTGGGTATCTACAGCTTGAAGCTGTGGGGCGTCTGTGCGATCTTGTCGCTGGGGCGTCGTCACTGTTCCTGTCGTCCCCGTAACAGCATCCTCACTGATGGAATTAGCGAGTCGATGGATACGAAGAGACTCAGAGCGTTCACTATCCGCTTCCTGCGTACTCTGCAAGGTGCGGAGGAGTGCTTCAGCGTCTGCCAGATGTTGATCCACGCTGTGCTCTTCCTCGAACCTGCTGTACGCCTGCTGATCTGTCGGCGAACTGGAGGTAGTAATGTGGTACAGGAGTACGTCACGACGATCACGCAGAAGCGAAAGTGCGGATCTCAGACTCACTATGGAGAGCTGTGTGGCTGCCTGACGGTGTTGGAGCTGATGGAGTTGCTCCGCAACTGGGGCGTCAGACACATACGGAGTAAGCAAATCGGAACTTACCTGTTTCCTAATCGTCTCCAGGTCCTCGATGGCTTTGACTACCTTGGGGATGTAGGATTCGACGGTGTTCATATCGATCGATAGCGCACTGACTCGAAAGCTTGCAGGAGGTAGTAACTGCCAAACCCAAATTCTGAAATTGTGCTACATGAGTATGCTTGGCGAGGGCGTGACTACTTGCGGATGTAGTCACACAAAAATGGTGAACACAATACACGAGCGAAATGCGTGAAACAATGAACAACAAGCAACAACTGAAACTCCGGGGGGTTAGTATGGGGCATGAGTACCGATGACGAAAGCAGTATCGATCGCAAGGAACCGTCACTGACTAAGCCTAGTCACAAATTGCAAAAAAGGAGGGAAAGAGGAATGAGTGCGCAATGCGAGCATGTGGGAAAGAAATGAATTTAGGGGCGAGACTCTCATCAGACATAACATACAGGGCTCGTTCGTCGGCCTGATGGCGTGTTTCAGGGCAGACAGAGCCGAACCATCTCAATGGCTGCAGAGAAACCTGGCCACCAGAAGGCACCAGACAGTTCCGGACAGTGGGCAGGGCGCAGATGGCTGCTGCCACCAGGTCTGCGGGATCACCCCACTCTCAGCTAAGTGGAACTGTGGGTAGTCGCGTACTCGCGTCAACCTAGTCGCGTCGGAGCTGGCTGATGAAACGAAAGATGAGTTCTCTAAAGAGCTACAAGGTACAACCAGCATGTGTACACTGCGCAAACATGTGAAATGGAAAAATGGGATGAATTTGCACTGCTAACTAGGGACCCTGACGTGCAAGGGCGTGCACATGTGGACTACACAGGTGAGGCTCGATCACAGAAGCTGAACATAGGTTTGCTATCCCTATGCTCAACTCCGGTACGATGCACCATGTCGCGGATTGGGCCCCCAGCTCCCAACGTCAGTGGTATAATTGCTCTCCTGCATCGGCGAGGGGAGCCAGGGGTCCGCACCGTGAATAAGTGAACCATACAATGTGTGGTGGCTACCTGTGAGACGCTCGTTGTGCCTGCCACGTGGGTACTCCTTACGCTCTTAGGGGCCCTTGCCACCAGCCTGCTTAGTAGCGACTCGTCACCTGGGATCGACCTGTGCTTCCAGCCACCGACAGCTGGGGCGTGCACTCATAATCGTGGCACTTAGCTAGCATCGTGCCAGCCTTCCTACAGATGTTACCTACTAGGCAAGATTACGAAATACACCTGAAATGACAACCCGATATTCCGGAGCCACAGCCGAGCCGTGGTCACCGCTCCAACACATATCACACCTGTAAAGTGCCCACCATTTATCCGCAATAAAATCCCTACACTCAAACACACAGGATGAGCAACAACCAGCCAGATGTTACCTAGGGGCCGGCAATAACGGAAACCCCCCGAGGCGGTGTCGCCGGCGTGTGCCAGGTGCGATCGCGCTCGGGGTTACCTCGTAGCGTGGGAGCCAGTCCTCTGTGGCGTAGATGGAAGCACGCGAGAGTTGGGGTAGCGCTGGATCGATCGATAGTTGAGACGAAATGGAAACCCGACCGCTCACTGTGACGGCAGCTGCGAAGACTGACTACGTGACTTATTTGAACGCTGCGAAGGTAAGAGAGGTGAGAGGCGGGACAGCGCGAGGACGGCGTTTTGGGACCCTTTGCGAGGCGGAGGGCGGCGACCTTTGAAGGAAGTCGCGAATCCGCGACATTCTTGACCTGACGCATTTTGCTTAAAGATCTGCTCCAAAATTTCAAAGCAGGGTAGAAGAATATACATGTGTTGAAAAGATAAGAGTTAGAACGCAAAAAGCCATTTAGAAATCTGTAGAGTTAGACTGGAATCTCTAATTCGCTTACTAAGCATCCCATCTTGGAAAGTTTGAGTTGTTCAGATTTTGAGTTCTGCTTTAGATTAGGCTACTTTATACAAGCAATCTTGATTTCAATTATTAGTCATTGAAATAATTTATGTGAAAAATCATTTGCGTTTTTTAGAAAACTAACCGTGGTGAACGTCACCCCTTTTTTGAAATTTATTTATTTATCTGTTCACTCTAAATGCTGTGAATGGTTGTTTACATGCGAGACCTCAAGTAGCTAAAAGTAATATATCCAGAGACACGTTACATCAAATCGAAAAAAATTTGTGGCGCACTTCCGAATCAGAAAAAAATAGTATTACGGCTACTGCGGAGGCTCGATTTAACACCCTAAATACCGCCCCTAATTTATACGCTGAATGCCGCTCCTTGAACGGTGGACGTAGTGAGAGAAAACAGTGCTTTACCACTCTGATGGTACAATCACCATTTTGGATGGCAGACTCTCTTCACCTATTATTAGCAAAGGGTTCATGCGTTTACACATTTGACTCTGCTTTTATATCGTCATGACTCTCAACCCTCAGATTGGACTTCTTGGTTTCAGTTTTAGCGGGAACAAATTATAGTTGAGGGCCCTCAACCCACATAGTACAGTTGTAGCGGTGGAATTTGGCCTTGCGGGATTTGCGGGACTGTAAGATTTTACAACTTCTCTTAATACAACCTTATTTGGAATCTGCAAGAAGATTTGGCTTCAGCATGATGTGACGAATCTTTTAGTATACATTAAGCCCGTAGTCCATGGTGATACGGTAAATATATGATACTACTTTGTTATTTTAAAAATGTGTTCATATGAGCCACAACACATGTTGATAGTCTTATAATACAGGCCAATAAAATACAATGGACCATCGAAAACGGGCACAATGTGTACTATATAATTCGCTTTATCAAGCTGAATTTTTTTTCCGGATTTCACTACAACTTACTCTATGCTCAGTATCCTTTCCAGAACGTGACCCAACGTATCCTTGACGATTCGGTTCGAGTGGATGGACATGGTGATGGTGTCATTCACGAAGTTCAACTTCGCGATAAGCCTGCTGTTCAGGAAGAGACGGACTCTCCAAAGGTATCACAATGCTCATGAAACACAATGTAGATTTTGAAATTCAAGGTCGCTGCTCTTCGGGCGAAGTTCGACGAGAAATCGAAGGAAGTGAATTCACTTGAAGACCGTCAAACCATTTTGGAAAGGAGGGTGGAAGTGCTGGATGAAATTGTTGGGGAGGTCATTCTTAGAAGAGAGCCTTTGAGACTTTTTGTAGTAATGATAACCCGTTCTATATTTAACTGAAATATATTGCGTGAATGTGAAATTTTCAAACTTTGAACTCATTTATTCAGGTTGGTAAAAATGCTGTCAAGCCTCCAGGTGAAGCATCGCAGTCCTTCGCACTTAATGCCGAAGCACTGGCAAATCTGAGCAACTTTTACTCCTTCTACGAAGAAAACTCGATGACCCTCCGCACCGGTGGACAATCTTTTTTATGTGTATTTTCATCTGGCTGAACGATTTTTTTTTTCAGAAAAGCGCAATGTTGACCAAAATCTGGAGAAAGCAAAGCGAGAACTGAGCGCTTTGAAAGCCGAGTTGCGGATTGCAAAAGCAGAAAACTCAGCTCATTACAGCAAGTACAGTCGCTTCATTTCATATGATCATGTGTGCCATTGCACACACAAACCACTTTGGCGTCCTCATCCTGGATTTGCAATCGCAAAAACGCAAGGGACTTACCGATTGTTACCGATTACATCAATTTGAGGTGACTCGTAACTAAAAAGGAAAGAAAATGCTAAGAACACCTTGGAAACGCTTACCTGAAGGCATGTTTCTCCCACGAATCCGGGATGGGGACGCCAAAGGTGAACTGTGTGTGCAATGACGCACATGATCATATGAAATGAAGCGACTGTAACTAGGACGAAATTCTAAGACTCATATATGTATTTCTTGCATGTTTCACAGTCGATGCCAAAAATTCCAGGTCAATCATTATTACCCTTGAAAGCGAAAAAGGTGGTCACGTGAAACTGGAAGTCAACTACCAAGTGCATGGTGCCAGCTGGAGTCCATCTTACGATATTCGTGTGGACACCAGAGGACAACAACCGTCGCTTAGGGTACCGCAGACTATCCTACTGATATCAATTTTATCCTTTCACCGGGTATTCAGATAACGTACTCTGGCAAAATTTCTCAGACGACTAGAGAAGATTGGTCGGACGCATTATTGGTATGCTTTTTTTCCTCTGGGTTACAATTCGGTCGCGTGCTTACGAAGGAGATGCAATATATTAGGTTGGTGCAAAAGTAATGCGCGTTTTACGAGTTCTCACTTTGACGTGCTATAACCTTCTAAAAAATCCATATTTTTTAGTGCGGCAAAGTTCATCAGAGGCACCAAACCTCTCTCTATACAGCGCACATTAACCTATGTTAACATCGCAAATCGGTGGAAAAATATGGATTGATAAGCAAAAAAAAATTTTTTTGGAAACCTCGTTTTCAACTGATCATAACTTCTTTCAGGACTTGTCGGTGTAAATGAAAAGTTGACTGTCTTGTAGCCACAAGCCAGTAGTACAAAAAAAAGTACAAAAGAGCTCAAATAAAGAATATTTGCGAGAAGGAAAAAAATAATATTTAAAATTGTCCACTTTTTCCGACATTTTTTCGTAGCCCTCAAAATCCCAAAATATGGAGATTTTTGATTTTCTGTGTTCTGAAAAGCTTCCACATTCCTGCAAAAACTGCCAGCAGGAGGCCCACTCTTACGCTTACAGAAATGAGCAAAACTTTGGCGATTGCTTTCTTCAAAGGAAAGCTATGGGCCGCAGAATGGCCAAAACCATTACTCATGTTGAGGCGCCGAGATCTCAGTCTAAGTAATTTTTAGGAAAACAGTAAAGCATGCGTAACGTAGAAAATTTCCGCTACATACAGTAGTTAAATTTTCAAAATAAGGCCTTTACTCGCGCTTGAATTCTGGCCGAAAAAGTAAGTGCAATGAAATTCTGGTTTTGAGTGCAGTTGTATGAAGCTCTTTAAATTTTTAACGAATGAGGCTAGAAGCTTCTCTTAAACACCATTAGATAGAGCATGAAAGGAGCTTCTTGACAGTTTGTTAAGTTTCTTTCAAAGGAGAAAATTTGATGGAGAAAAGTCGTCCTGAAAGAAGGGCTAGAAAAACGCGCATTACTTTTGCACCAACCTAATAGATATCCTTGGCATTCTCCTCAAAATTTACTATTTTTCACTCTTAGTTATCCTCGATGTTTTTTGAATCTGTAAATCACAACCTCAACACTTTCAACTTTTCCTGCTAACGGAGAGAATTGAGAGTCAAACTTGACGTCAGAAAAAGTCTATCACTTTACGCCATTATTCGTCGAAAAATTGTGCCATTAAAAGGGAGCATGCAGACAACTGCAACAAAGCGCGCACCTCTACATGTTAAGAACTCGTGCCAGCTGCTCGTGGAGAGGGTGGAGCCTGTAGGCGCATACCATGCAATCTGTCATTTTTCGAAAATCCTGAGAGACTAAAAAAATGAATTTCAAAAAAAATTCTATTTCAACAAGCAATGCACTTTTAGAGCTACCCCTCTCACATAAAGGCTATGAAGAGAAAGCAGGCCGTAAAACCTTTGTTACATGAAAACACACTCTGTCTCAATCTGCAGTAAGATCCTAAAGGGGTGTCGCAAACTCACAATTGGACGACCTTTGCTCCTGATAGCACGTCCTTCACGTATATAGTTGGCGTCGCAAATTTTCTTCTCCCCCCCCCCCCCCCTCCCCTCCCACCTCTCTCTCTATATTGACTACTCTATAAGGCCCTTTTTTAACCCAGATAAGTACGCCCTAAGAACCCTTCAGTTGAGTCCGCCTTAGGCCCCGGACAGACTTCACGCGATTTGATCGTCGCGACTGAATCGCGACGAGACAACTGTTACAACATCATTCCATGCCGATCAACTTGCATTTCGGTTGTGATACTTCTCCAGCCCGGAATTTTTGAATGTGAAATGAAAATGAATGGAAATGTCGGCGATTGAGTCGCCTATCAAATCGCGTGAAGTCTGTGCGGGGCCTTACAAATATCCTTTTTTCCATTGAAACTGCGCCCTAGAATCTTGCCAGATAAGTCTGAAAACTGCCAGATAACTCAGAACATATTTGCAGACGGACTTACTAAGGAAAGGTCCTATCTATGAGATTTTAGGGTAATGGTCAGCATCTAGCTGTTTATCGCAAGACTGACATTAGTTTTGCTTTTGAGAAAAGTTGATAGTTCATGCATAAATCCGCTACATATTATAGGTGCTCTCTACGGCTCAGCCATGTCTGGGCGGAAATATCCCGGAACTGGCAGTTCTTGAAGCAATTTTGTATCGCCCTCCTCCCCCTCCTGTTCCTGCTCCTACTAGCCTTCAGCGAGGAGGAGCTATGCGACATATGATGCTACGAAAGAGGTTCCACATATAGACTAAAAACTCCTACAATTCCGGATAACCTAGAATAGTAACTGCTCACATCTGAGTTTCAGCGCTGCACCACGCACAACGTCTTCTTCCAGCGCTGAGGAGGAATGTGGAGCATCTTTGGATATGGCTGCTATGGCACCTAGAGTAAGTTGGTGCATCAAATGCGGCTCTCTCATTTATAGAGTCCACTAGATGGCAGAGGTGGCACCGACAGGACAGCATGCTTTGAGCACAGAGTTTGTGATAGCTAAACCAGCTGCCATTCCCTCGGATGGAGCGGAGCATAAGGTGAGATCATAAGAGAGATCATTTCTTTCTTTCTGAGAGCGTGTTAAGGTGACCATTGGAATTGTTGACCTATCTCCGCAAATGGTTCATCAATGCGTACCATCAAAAAATGCAAGCGCTTTCCTGACTGCATTGGCAGTCAACAATTCAAAACTCCCCTTTTTGCCTGGTGATGCGACAGTTTACTTGAACAACAGTTTTGTATCAAAGGTAAGAACTAGTTCTCCTCCAAAGGTAGTGTCCGAGCAAGTTTGGCAGGTTCAGGTGCTGAGATTCTAATGAGAATAGAAGGCTTCTTCCTGAGCCATCGATGCAAATTACTGTATTAACTGTGAAATCATTCTATGGGCGGCAGACGATTAGCCACAACTAGCCCATTATTCCACAGAAACGGATTTCTTTTCAACATCGGAGTGGACTTATGGCTCAGTGTTAATTTTAGGACCAAAAAATTGTGGTCCATGGTCAGGGTCAAACGTCAGCAGCCCAGCGCGGGGTCTTGGGGATGGAATTGGAGTGGAGGGGGGAGCTGGATTATGGTGACTGTGCCGAGAAAAATTCATCTAAACATAAGATGGTTAGGAAAATGCACCGATCCTGTTTGGTAGACAAGAAATATGCTATATAGTGTACATTAATGAATAAGCATTTTGAGCAATATACCAAATAGCCACAACGTCCAGCAAATTACTATTGATCTTATACCGTACACTTACCGCATTCTCACCAAAGATGCGCTACCTTACGGAATGGGGCGTCATCACTTTGTTATGCATATCAAATTAGGTAGTTGACTATGTAAGCCAATTTTTATAATTTCCAGTATTTTCTGAAGTTCAAAAAGGTTCATGTGCAAAATGATTGATCGCTTTTGAAAATTAGAAAGTCAGCAAACCTACAAATGAAATAGTAATAATCTCTTTTCATACCTTTTGATCTACGACAGGACTTGCTCATATCACTCGTAAATAATGGGTTTACAGGGGGGGGCTTCCCTCCCCCCTCCCCCGAAAATAGGTCGCGAAATTCCTGAAAGTTGCTTACATAATTATAAAAGTGTGCAAGTGACTTGCTTATACTTGTAATTGATGAAAATAATTTTTTGAGTTTCTTTAAAAATTCACTTTAGCTTTATGAATAAATTTTTCTCGGGAGTTTGGCTTACGCCACACCCCCTTTTTCTGGATTTTCGAGGTCATAGGCCCGCGAAAATTCTAGGAAGCATACCAAAAAAATTTTCGGAAACTTCATCAGAAAAATTTTTTTGCCGCCCTCCCCCTCCCCGAAAGGAAATTCTAGGTGCGCCACTGGTTTACAGGAAACAACCGACTATCGCGTTTTTTTACAATAAGTGATTTCTGTTTTTGGGTTACCGCAGAGGCAAAACGACTCAAAGTAAACTTAGACACTTTTACGAAAACGTGCATCATCTACGATGTTCGTGCCAATAAAGTTAGCTGAAAGGGCTCTTTCAGAAAGAGGGTCAGGCAGGGTCACTCAAGAGGGTCACGCACAACTTCTCGAATGACCAGTTTGCCTGAACCTTCGTAGCTTTGAACCTGAAATACCTTCAGAGACAAGCTTGCTAATGAGACTCGTAAATTTAGGACCCTCTACCATATTAGAAATTGGTCCCATTCCCTTCACTAGGGGAAATCACAGCTCAGGTGTTGTGACAGTTCCAAAACTCAAAAAAAACCTGAAAAATAATCAGTATATTGACGCACTATGTACTCATGTGTAATCGTAGAACTGCGTAGAGACTCCAGCAGAAAGTTCTCAAACATCCCGACTTTAAAGTTTTATACATTCAGCAAGATTTTTTGATTACTGCCATTTCGGACCAGAGCCTTTCTGCTTTGTCAAAGTTGTCAGGACTACCACCCGTGTCCGAAGTGATACTCTTCTAGAACAAACTCAAAATATGTCTCCAAGAGTTTCCCCAGAAGGGCTAAGGCACTGCTTATTAAAATAAGATTTATTTTAATTTTTGGTATACGGTAATCTTACAGTAATCATTCTTTGCCAACCCAACATCATGGATTTCATCGAGATATTGAGGTTAATTCATGTGCTAATCACGATTATAGCGACTATTCTGTTCACTACTGTTCCACAGTGGGACAACGGTAGTACGCTAGATTATTGTTGAATCAAAAACTGATGTAAGACTTTCGTAATTAGCATGCTACAAAACCTACACATGCGAGATTTGAGCTTCGTAAACGAGATGAAAAAGCAAAAATGTAAACAAGCAATATATCGATATCTCTTGCCTGCTGTATTTCCTGTGCATGTACACTTGAGTTTCCAAAAACAGCATAATTTTGCGAAGAATATAAGCTAATGTCTATACCCTGTCTCCACCTACTGTACCTAACCTTAACATCATTCACGGTTCCTGAGCCACTCTGGCTGTGTCTTCGCCTAGGTGTCCCCAATCGTGCCTCAGAATCCCATGCAATTTCATCATAAACTGAGTTAGAGCTTTATGTATCTTACAACCCACCGGTGGGTCGCATTGTCGTGAATGTGCTAGAAAACATGTGCTTGACCTCATGCTTGACTCTGGCCGTGCCGTTGGCCTGCATTCTCTCGTTCTTGTGAAGATCGAGCTGCGTTCGAATCCGCTAAGCTCGCCTTTTCTGAGGTGCATTTTTAGAATCCGCGGGACAAGTAGATATGCACAAAAACACCGAGGTTGAGAATTTGCCCGGACACTGCCTTTATGGTCTCTTATTCAGTTTTGAACACAGTCTAATTGCAGACGTCTCTCAAGAGTGTGTCTCCTGGAGAGAAGTTCTTTTGCTCACTTGGAGTTGACACAGCACTTCGGATTGAGTACAAACCAGTCAAGAAGTATCATGAAGAGGTATGATTGCATACATAGCTTGAAAAAAAAAGAGAAAAAAGTGACGCAAGTCTGCGAAGAAAGTTGGGAAACGGAGGATAGGTTATGCTACTTTCAGCTTATAGTAAGCCCACCCTATTTGCTCGAAACGCGAGCAGTCCGCTCAGATCGTAACGCATGTGCGTTGCTGAGCGATCTCTTTCTCGCATTTGCTCTTGACTGAGATTCCTCAGCAACAAAGTGGCTTCACGGGAAAGTTTTCGGAATGTCTGCCTTCATAGCAGATAGGGTGCGACTTTATAGTCCTGAGAATAGAGTGAGAATAGAGTAATTCAGAATTCCTAAATGTTCGGTTGCTGCTCAGTAAGTGTACATTGTATTCAGGTTGGATATATCAACAAGAATTCCTCAACGGTGTACGAGCAAGTGATTGTTGTTAAAAACTCACGCAGCGATGCAGCGTTGATCACTGTCAAGCAACAAGTCCCCCGTAGCACTGATGAGAAAATCAAGGTTTGTAAAAATCAATCGATCAGTTATTGGCGTGCGGCTCTTGTTCTTCAATTACTTTCACATTTATTTTGTGTGAACTAGAGGCCAACCATCATCTATCGTAAGAGTAAATAGGTTGTGTGTTACAGCTTAAGTAACTTTGGCTCTGCTACATCAAATTACGTTGCTTTAGGTACGCTTGATCAACCCTACGGTATCAACGTCCGAGGAGACGAGTAGCTCAGGTAAAAATTTGAAGACTGTTCATTTCTCGTCAGCGACGTATCAAATAGACCGTCAAGTGTACCCCTCTTCAGCTCCATGTATTACCAACGTTTATGTGTGTTTCGTTATTTTTTTGTAACGTTTTCGGATTTTTGATGAGCTTGTTCAAAACTGCCGAAATTTTAGTGATCTTCTTGTTAATTCAAGTCTTCCATTTGTGTCGATAGAACGTAATTGAATCTACAGTTAGAAACTACATGATCTCTTCATTCCAACAAAATTCAGCAGAGGCAAATCCATGCAGACAGCAGAGAATTACGATTTTCAAACACTGTTACGAACGAACTTTCAGACCCCAATATGATATTATAGTGGCTCTCTTGTAAGACATTATTCAGAGGTCCAATTACGAATGGCAAAGTGAGGAGCTTGCTCTCGAATCCACTCCTAGTTGCTTATTCTTGACGACTTTGATGCTAAACTAAAATCCGAAAATATTATCAGAAGATTGCTATAGCTTTCTTAGTTTACCCACACAGATCCATTGGCTTCAGCCTACAATACATTAGCTAGTAGAGAAAAGCGCAAAAGGTTTGCGCAAACTTTACTTGAAAGCCAAGAATGCGAAATGGAAGCAACTTGAAGAGTGCCACTACTGTATCATAAATCATATCGTGTTCAACCCGTTTGGTCATAATCGTGACTCCTTGTTTTCGTCGGTAAATTTTGGAATCAGACCGTTTGTTTGAGAACTTTGAGCTTAAAATTGTCTCCTTTTGCACTGTTTGCGCGAGGCTTTGTTTCATCCCTGCTCTAGACTCAAATAATTCCTTTTCTCTTTTTCAGATTTGACGGCAGCAGCAGAGCTCCCAAAGAAAGGTGCAAAAATGAAGGGAGGCATATTGGAGTGGACAGTTTCGGTACCGAGTGGAATAGCCAACGAATTGCATGTGAAATGGGCTGTGGAACATCCCGTAGGGGAAACGATTGAATTTGTTGAACGCCAGTGACGATGGTGTCCTTGTTTCTTACTTTTTATCAAGTGAAATACTTTACTATCATTTCCTTCTGGAATATTCATGCGTAATTTTGTGGTATTTCATAGTTGTCAGTCATCATCTTATACATAAAATTATTGAATGATTGTTTGAATTTGCGACAGAAACGCCGAGTCTGACTCAATGGACATTTCATATGAGCAAGAGTGAGGGATGTTACATAGGCACGCGCCATAGTTGATCCGCTTGATCCGCTTCCCCCTTCGCTATTGGTCAAATCAGCCAACTGACCAATGGCAAAGTGGATGAAGCGGATCAAGCGGATCAAGTATGGCGCGTGCCATACCGCTAGTAGTGGTTTTTGAACTTCCTTAATTTGTAAAATTAGCGCGTCGTTCTTCATGAGCGTCAGAATTAAGCAGAGCAAACTCGAAAAAGACTCAAAAGTGCAGGTAAGAAAAAGTTGGAAATAGAGTTTATTTTAGTTGTCTGCCTCTTGGGACAATGCCTTCCACGGATCGAGAATTTTTCAGCTAAAATAATGCACACCGTCAAGTACAGTATACTTAAAGTAATTCTATGAAGCAGGCGAGAAACATAGGAGCAACTTCCACGGTTATAGAGTAAGAGAATTTCTGGAACGAATGTATTCCAAAATAGCATCTTTTCAACATTAAGCCATGACCCACAATGTGGACATTGCCTCGTGGCAGATATTGTATGATCCACCACGTGGGTCACGTTGTCGTAAATATGATAAGATGATCTTGTCCAAAAATGGCCTTTCAGAACAAAAGATGGTCTACAATTTACAATTGAGCCACGGTTTGGCACAGGTGGCGCATGGATGAAATGGTTATCGCTTTAGAGGGAAAAGGAGGAATTTCTTATACTTGCAAAATCGCTTAGTATTCCAGAAATATAAGAATCATCAATGTCTCAAAGTGTAAAAATCAAAGAAATTATGTAACTAAAACTTAGCAAAGTTTCAAAGGAGTTTCTGTCAAGGATTGGTGAAGCTACTCGTTTTTACTCTTTACTCGATAAGCTAAACGCTTGTTCAAGATTTCAAGCACAGCAAGAAAACTTCGTCGTGTTTTCTTCACTAACTTGACAAAATATTTAAAAAAATTGACTTTCAGGAGATTTTTGAGCTCAAGCGATTTTCAAAGATATACTACAGAAAAAAGTTTCCAAAGATATGTATACTGATCAGTGTTTGGTAGTCAAGGTAACAGAGAAATACAAATTTCATAAACTTTGGTTTAGACGAAGTTACTGTTTTGCGACAGTTCCGCACACAAGCATTCCGTCGCGTCTACTCTAAAAAGGTTCAGGAAAAGTTTTTCTCAGACAAGTTCACATTTTTTATTCCTTATTCCAGTGGTACTCCGAATATTAAACTAAAATTTAAGAAAAATTCACTTACGATAAAGTTAAGAGCCTCTTACATTTTCGCCTGAGATCAAAATCCATCGCCAACCCACTGAAGCAGTTTAGGAAATATGATTCGGGACTTTTTTGCTTCCAGAAAGAATCTCTTCTTGTGAACATACCAAAATCTCAATAAATTTGAAAAAGCCTCTTTCTAAGATTTCTATGAGCTTCCGACGATTTTATATTGATTTATCTGCCGCGGCGAAAAATTCAACGTTTGGCGTTCTTTTCACGCGAGTTAGGGGCGGCACTGTAGCCTGGTTTCAATTTTTACATTCTGCCAATGAAGGAAAGTAGACACATCCTTGATTTATTTTTGCTCATCTATCTTCGATCTGTTCTAGCATGTGTTAGTAATGTACTTGAGGACAGGGTATGGTGAATAAATCAGTACGCTATACTTCGCATACAGTGTAAAAATGATCTCGTCACTTGTTATTCTTTGATAATAGCGCGTAAACTTTTACATTCTAGTGCAACTTTGGAGGTGTCTAGCAAACTTCGATATTACTCACAAATTGTTTGACACCATAGCATTGTAATGCAAAAATATTGGTTGCTAGGTTTGCCTCGTTTTCTTTCCGTGAAGTGTTGACCAAGTGATTCTATGGTAGCCGTGGGTTCAAAAATTTCGCTTAAAAAGGGATTTAACCCAGTTCAAGCTGTAAATCAGTGTCTTCATGCCCTGTATATATCTTCTCTATTTGCAACTTCCAGTATAAGGGTGTCGAAAAAACTGCGCACTCCTTTAATCGTTAGTAACTCTCTTGCGGGAGGCGTGCAAGTGGTACGCACCCCCTCTTGCTCCAGTGTTATTCGTCGCTTCTCAGTTACCATGCTTTACAGCTCAGATTCATGGTATGAACCTAGTCACCAATCGCTTTTCAAAACTTTAGGTCAGGGAGCTTCCAGCACACAGCGTCACTGTAAATTAAGCCTGTCCAGGAATAGTCCCAATATCTGGAAAGTTTGCGGCAGGTTTCACGCACGCTGATTTTGCTAATCAATTAAAAGTTTTCAAGTTTTGAAAGGTGAAATCACATGTTCAAACAATTTTCTTAGATAATTGTGAATGAAATAAATATTGATGTACTTAGCTTGTCTTATGAACGACGCACTATGGCAAAGTGCAAATCCCATGTTTTAGTCAGCGACTTAGTGTAACGGTATTAGTTCGCTTGGTTTCCTTTATGAGAAACGGTCATTGATCGTTCTTCATTACTGTAGGAAATGGTCAGAACTCCGAGGATTTTGAACCATGAAGGGTCAAATGGCCCTGAACGGCTCGAAACCCTCGTCAAGGTTACTACCGTATTCTTACAGTTATGAAGAGCAATCGACGAAAGACATTGGAGCGGGAGAGATACTAGCGCTCAAACAGCACATCTTTGGGACACCGTGAAAGCGCATTCCTCATTAGTACGAATCATCTTTGGATCTTGATCAAAATCACACACGACTTTGATCAAGTATCGCTTGAAATTTTTGTATCTGTCTCAGGACCTCTTGACAAATATGCGAGTGGCATTCTATACATCTTGTCGACGATTTGCATCTGCGGCACCAAAGGACACCTATGATGCCATTGTTATAGGAGGAGGTCACAATGGACTCACTGCTGTAAGCTATACAGTGGAGCTTAATAAATCTCAATAATTATTTTTCAATATTTAGGCAGCCTATCTGGCCCGCGCAGGGAAGCGAGTCTGTGTGTTGGAAAGAAGAAATGTGATCGGTGGAGCTGCTGTCACTGAGGAAATTCTACCAGGTTTAGTAAAAAATTTCCTACCTTGCAACAATAACGCTATTTCCATTCAGGTTACAAATTCTCTCGAGCATCCTATCTCCTCAGTTTGCTTCGACCGATTGTTATCAAAGATTTGAAACTAAAGGTGTGATTTGCTAGTGATATCAATTAATCTGATTTACGTCATTCTAGGAACATGGGTTGCGGTATCATATTAGGAACCCTTCTTCATTTACACCGGTTCGAGATTCCAAGAAGAGCTTATTGCTCGGACTTGATATGCAAGAAAATTGCAGGCAAATAAGAAAATTCTCAAAAAGAGATGCTGAGGTCAAAATTACTCAATAATGCTGTTGGTGCTCATGTGAAATAGATTTCAAGATGTTTCCCAAATATGAAGAGTTTATCGAAAAGCTGGTAAAACCATTGGGACCGATGATGGACGAGGTGCCTCTAAATGCGCATCACTTGTCTAAATCCGAGCTGATTAAGCAAACCTGGAAAATGTTCCAACGAGGTTTTTTTACACATAAAATGTCCTAAATCTCCTTGGTAACGATCTTCTTTCTTAGTGAGACAAATAGGAGCATCCAATATGGTCGATTTCTACGAGCTGTTGACAGCGCCGATTGCTAAGGTAATTTGGAAGAGTTCGTCACCAACTGCCGTACACAATTTTCAATAGATCTTGGACAGATGGTTCGAGAGCGATGTTCTGAAGGCAACTTTGGGTACAGATGGAGTTCTCGGATTTGCAGCCAGCCCATATGACGTGGGAACTGGGTAAGAGTTGAATCAGAATGGTTTCTAAAAGTATTTTCGCGCATAACCTGTAACGGCTGGTCCCAAACGGACATAGGTTACTCACTTGTGGGTTACTTATGGTTAGAACCTTCGATGAGCCATTGTTGATATCTTCTAGCATGCATTTCTGAATTCATCAGATAAACTAAGCTATCCTACGCTTGCTTAGCTTGACACTTTTTGTAAAAATGTGACACTCGAAGAGTGATATGTACTTGTTCAAAAAAAGCATACCAAATTAATGCGTATAGCTGATGTGGAACATGAAATGATACTGAGTATGATGTCCTTCTCACTGATGTCCTAAATTTGAAAAATAATCGCGTATTGGATTTTTGTCTAGACTTCCATGGCAGTTACCAAATAACAAAAGCTGAGTTCTTTTGTGCTTTCGTGAGTGTGATCCTTTTATTTTTTAAGCACTGAACCGTAGGTGTAGAAAAAGCTCATCTCCAAATAAAGTATCGGAGATGTGGTCTGAAGTAAACCAAAATGTGAGACTTCTAGAAGAGGCTTCTGTGTCGCTTCTCGTCTGGTGAATTGTTTATGCTGCTGAAGGATGCACAAAGCCGAAAATGCGAAGTAGAAGTTTTTTGCTTTTTCAAAGATCCTTGCCTTTCTATCTCCACATAGATAAATAATTTTACTTTGAAGTAATGAGACTAAAAAGAGTTTGTTTCAGCTATATTCTGCTTCATCACGTTATCGGCGGTGTGGATGGTCACAGCGGAGCTTGGGCTTACGTTATGGGCGGCATGGGAGCGGTGGGTGATCTCGTGGTGTTTGTCCCATACTCGAATTCATTGAAGTTATTCACTAGATTTTAGGTATCATCAGCAATAGCGAAATCTGCACAAAGTCACGGAGTTGAGATCTTTGTGGATCAGGTGTGTTTTCAAATGATTTGGAGTTACCCAAGCGATTAACTTCTTCATTTTGCGAATTTAACACTTGCATGACTGTTTTCAAATCTTTGCGCCGCAAAATCAAATTCCCACCGTATTTTTGTTTCTTGATTATTGCAAAATCTGTGTTGATTGGGATTGTGTTAGTTGTTAGTTGTGATATTGAAAAATCATTCAGAAAATACAAACAGTTTTGCACAAATTCCTAGTTCACGAATTCAATATAGTTTTTTTCAGTTTTT